ACACTTAACCCAAAGTAGAGACAGGCTGTTGCTGTTGTCATTCGGGCCATCTTATAGTGGCATTGTATAAAACAGAAAGAAACCCTGCCTTCGGCCCAACCCCAGAATCAATACTGCGTTTGGGCCCATTGTTAGAGCCAGTTTCTCAAGGGTCATTCTCTTTTTCACAGATCCTCTACTTTATCAGAGAAAACATTCTGTTTCTCTAAAGAGTTGTAATCTTAGAGACTCACAGGGGCCGTCAAATCCTGCCTATGGGGTCATTGTGAGTTGGAATAGACTCAATTGCAATGAGTTCTTTTGTTTTGTTTTGTTTTTACTTTACTAGATATGCCACGCATTGCACTGTCTGTTAACTAGTCCTGATAACAAGCTCAAGGTATATGAGACAAAGTCTCACCATCTTTGATTCTAAGGAGTATTCTTTTTGTACTTTTTCCCCAAACATATTTTTTGCTTCTTTTGGCAGTCCGTAGTACATTCAGTATTATTTGCTATACCATAATTCAAATATATCAATTTTTCTCTGGTCTTATTCATTGTCCAGCTTGCATATACATATGGCACAATTGAAATACTATGGCTTGAGTCAGGAACACGTCAGTTCTCTAAGATATAACATATATATATATATACTTTTTAATAATTTAAAGAGGTCTTTACTGAAGGCAATATCTTTTTTTGATTTTATGAGCACTACTTCTATGCTGTCTGTGATAGAATTATATTGAAACAAAGTCAGCAAAATATCAATACAACTATTATAAAATTTATGCATCAACTGCCACAGCTGGTAAGACAGAAATTGTGGGTTTCCACTAATGTCTTCAGCCTGAAATTGGTCAAATATGTAATCAAGATTAATATATAATTTTTGATTATTGTGATGTAAAAGTTAGAAACAAAAATGAATGAACATTTCTAGGAAAATACGATCTTGGTGATAAAATTGAAACTAGAGATCTCATGAGAGAGTTTATAAGACCAAGGTCTTGTTTATATCAAATGTCTTTTTTCAACAGCCCAAGAGATGATTATACACATGGACTTCCCCGGATCGAATAGACAGAAATCAAATTTACTACATCTGTGAGAAGATACAATTCAGAAGCTTACTACAAGGAGCAAATACAAGGCCAGGGGCTGACTGTGGAAGAGACTATAAACATTCTATCAGTTAAGGTAGAATCTGAAGAAATTAAAACAAGTTCAGAAGAGCCAAAATACGGCTTTGAGTCTATTTCATCTGGATTTCAAAAACCTCTCAAGAACATTTGCTGCAGTGGACACTAATGACAGAAGACCTGATGAGCTAGCTGCGTGAGGGCATCAAGGGTATCACCCATGAAGAAAACACCAGGTAATTAAAAAGGCAAGAAAGAAAAAAGATTAGCATGGATGTCAGAAGAGATTCCGAAAAGTGATCTTAATCATAGTGTAGATAAGGTAAATGGAAGAAATGGTAAAGTCAAAGAGCAGACCAGATATTTTCAGAGGACAGCTGCAGAAGACAAAGTGCAACATTATAATAACATTTGAATAGAACTAGAGCTGAAAAAAGAAAGA